GTTTAAATTTTGACTATGCTGTGTACTCTTATTATACTAATCATAATCAAATAATTGAAAGGTACATATTTTAATTATTTGATTAATTACTTTCTATGTTAATAACAGTGATAAAAACAATAAACAATGATAAAGCTATAGCTTGAATATAATTGACAGTATTGAGAACTTAAAATAGTTGCTTTATTCTATAAAATTCGCTCCTAAAATAAGAAAGATTGGCTCCATTCTAAAATATTCTCAGTATACAAAATAGATCTTGTGACTTTTGTAACTAGAATCTTACAAAACAACATAATATGGTAAACAACTATTTCAAATTTAGAACTTTATGGAAAAGTAAGATATTAAGTTAGACTGACTTGAGTGGTTTGGTTAATGGACTCCACGATAATCTCAGATCTCAGTTTCTTCAGTCTCATGGAAATAATATTTGGCTAATTGAGCTAGGTTACAGTGAGGTTTGTTATTTTAAACTAATGAGAAGGTTTATGGATGAGTGTCTTTACAAACACACACAAAATGGATATGAATTCATTTTACCTTTTCTTTACATACACCTTCTAAAATCATGCTTATGGCCTATCATTTTCTATATTAGCGTGACTCATTTTTAAGCAAACACTTAAAAGGGTCTGCCTACTATATGCAAGGCACTACAGACTGGAGTATAAGACATAGTTCTTACCCCCAGAATCTTAATCCAGGAAATGATTCAATAAATTATTGCAGCAGCAAATAATGCTGATCGGTAGTACTTGTGGAAAACAAAGTTCTGCTCCATGCTTTGTCATTCACTTTCTGTTTAACCAGAGGTAAACACAGTTTTTCAGATCTCTAAATTACTTATTTACAAAATGATAACCTTGATAAAAATTACCTTGTTTTTATTCTTTACAATTTAAAAAAAAAAAAAACAAAACATTAAACCATAATTAAAGGAGTAAAGCTCACTGAAATCCTGCCACTAGTAATCATTTGGATCTTTCTGTGTAACTCTTTGCTCATGCTCTGGAGAGACACATGATTTATATTAATGGGGTTATGTCGCACGTTTCTGTTGTAGACCCTATTTTTAAAATAGCTTTTTTTAAGATCTCCTTTTTCTACCTGCTCATCCTCCAAACTAAACAACATTACCACCTTTTATTATGCCCACGTAACAATATACATACACAATAAAACATACCTATATTGAAGATTTGTATAAATTATAAAATTTTATATTGACTTGTTCTCACTTTAAAATACTTTCTGATACATTGAAGTCATTTGAAATATGATCTATCTTAATCTGTTTGATTACTGCATACACATCATAGCATGGATAGACTACAATTTCATTTCTCTGTTTATGAGTGTTTTATTTCAGTTTTAGCAATTGACAACACTGTGCAATAAACATCCTTGTATGTTCTAGTGCTTTTATTTCTGTGAGATAAATTCCCAGAAGTAGGATTGCTAGATCAAAAAATAAGCATATTTTTACTTTTAATATATATTGTCAGAACTTTCCAAAAATGCTATAATAATTTATATCTCCACAAGCAATATTTAAGAGTACTCTGTACATTGCAATCTAGCCAACTCATTTACATTTTCTCCAATGTGAAGGGTATAAAGTTGTTATTTTAATTTGCATTTCCATGATTGCTAATGAACTTGAGCATCTTTCCAGTGCTTACTGATGCCTAGACTTGTTCTTCATATTTATTATTTTTGCAGATGTCCTCCAGGGTAAACGTAAGGTCCCTCAGGTTCCTGGAGGCCACCGTGAGAAGAAAGCAAATGCTCAAGAGGGCAGGGCTACAGGTACCTCTACCCATTTTAACAGAAACCATTTATTTATTTAGTTCTTTGTAAAATTTGATTTGTAAAAATTCCTTGAGAACTATTAGACCAAATGCTTTCAGTATTCCTTCCCTGAGATTTTATGATGTTAAATAATCTTGTTTGTTAATTTCATTGTTACTATTATCCCAGCTAGATTTTACGTTAATTTTAGCCAGAATCTTCATCTTATATTCCCTTTGTATCAAAGGATAATATTAACACAGTTTTTACATTTTAACGTTAATTAGAATCACATGGAGAACTTGTTAAAAATGCGGATACTCAAATGCCAGTGCCAGAGATTGATTCAGAAGGTGAAGGGGTAATGTTTAAGAATCTGTATTTTTTTTATTTTTTTATTTTTTATTTTTTACTTTTTTTGAGACGGAGTTTCGCTCTTGTTACCCAGGCTGGAGTGCAATGGCGCGATCTCGGCTCACCGCAACCTCCGCCTCCCGGGTTCAGGCAATTCTCCTGCCCCAGCCTCCTGAGTCGCTGGGATTACAGGCACACGCCACCATGCCCAGCTAATTTTTTGTATTTTTGGTAGAGACGGGGTTTCACCATGTTGACCAGGATGGTCTCGATCTCTTGACCTCGTGATCCACCCGCCTCAGCCTCCCACAGTGCTGGGATTACAGGCTTGAGCCACCACGCCCGGCCAAGAATCTGTATTTTTGACAACCAATGACCATACTTTGAGATATTCTAGTATTTGGCACTTGGCTGGTGCTCAATAAATGTTTGGTGATTAACGGATTATCCTAACCTGGCATCAAGTTCTCCTTGAGCCTGTGTGCTTTGGTGAAGCTACATGTGTTGGCATTGAAAAGTTTAAAGTTCCATGCTGCAGTATAATTTCAGCCTTTGGAATGCAGTTCACATTTTCAGAAATAGGAGAAAGTCTTCATTTTCCAGGGGCAGGTGGGAGGTCAGAGAGAATAAACTCAGGCTCCCCTGTTCTATCAGTAATCTTCCCAGAACACCCATGCTGTGGTTCTAGTTTCTTGTCAAATAATTCCTCAGTCTGATCCTATTCCACACCACCATCACTAGCCAGAGGATGGGGCTATATAAAAAGAATTCAACTTCTGGGCTGAGAAAGCTAAAATTCATTGCAATAAAACCATCCCAGAGAAAATGCCAAAAAAGGAATCATATAAAGATTTATTTCTAAAAAGAAGTATACTAAAGTAATAAACTTTCTGAAAAGATGGGGCCTTTTCAATCTTACATTCTTTCCTCTAATCCTATCTGCATCCCAAGCACCCTGATTTACTCTGTCACTGGGTGATGGTACAAAGGGAAAGATTGCAGATCTAATTAGCATAATATGGATAAGCAAATGAGGCCTAATCAATTACGGTTCACACTTGCTTTCATCACTCGTGCCAACAGTCGGCAAATTCACTGACAGTTCAAATGCGACATTTTTAGAAGCCATCAGTAAATCAATAACAAGTGACAGTAATTTAGATGCACACTTCATTCTGCCTCCATTTCTGTCCAGGAGATGCAGCCTCAAAACCCAGAGACACCTGAGCTCAGCAGCCAAAGCCTTTCACCACTCGAATCTTACCTGTGAGCCAAGTGCGGGCATCCTGACTCTTGGCACCCTGCTCCCTACAACGGCTTGCAGGAAAGTTATGGTAAACATGATGACTAGAAGTTGTTTTTCTTTTCTTTTTTGCAGTCTGTATTACATTTTTGGAACAAGCCTGATGGCTGTATTTCTCAGGAGGCAATATGGTCTAGTAGTACATGCCACAGGGCAGCTGACCTGAATTCTTATCCTGGCTCCACTACTCACTACTTGCATAACCTGGGTGAAAATCACTTAATCTGTCTGTGCTACAACTGTACCATCTGTGGAACTGGGGGAGAGAGAGGGAGAATGCTAATATGTACCCTTATTTACCTCACAAGGCTGGGTTGGGGATTAAATGAGATGTCAATGGTGAACATACTTTTCATAAATATAAGGTCATTGGTAGAGCTTCAGGGAGAACAGAGTTTTAGCTTTCACAGTAAAGACAAATGGTCTGTTCTCTTGTCTGACATTTATAGTCATTTTAGTTTATTCCTATGGTATTCGTGTCAAAAATTCCAACCTTAATATGACTCTCATAAAAAGGCAGAACAGGAATTTTAAAGTTCAAATTCAATGTAGTAAAATAAAATCTAAGAAAGCCCGAGTTGGAAAGAACCTTAGTCATCACCATCGTCACCAGCACTGCCTTGTATTTCTCTAGTGCTTACAGTTCACAAACTGTAAAGGGCCCTTCACAAACAGGGTTTTTCTCTGGGCTTCATGCTTCAGGAATAATATTGAGCAACCGCAAATCAATCAGATGATGGAGACTCTGACATGCCACATAAAAATCTCCCTCCATAAGTACAAAGCCATTCCACTGCTTTGAGAGTAATGTCCATTTACCAGTTCTAAATCCAGTCAGGCAAGTGTTATTTCACTCCCATCTCTCCACATTGTCTACAAGGTCATCTTCTCTGAAATTCACATTTACTAGAACTACAACAACCCCTTATCCTATGTGGTTAGTCTCGTTATAATATTCATATAATAAATCCATATGTCCCCTACAGCTCGCTGCTCCCCATTTTTAGTGTATATAAATTAGTCCTTTAATGCTTAATTCTAGAGTCTAGAAAAGAGCTGTAATTCGAGTTGGTTAAATACATTCACTGAGTGCTGTATCCACTAGCTATTGTTACTAAATCGCTGTGCAACTACAAAAACTTACGAGCCTGGAAAAATAAAAATTTATTTCTCATATTCTGTCTTTGCAGCTCAGCTGGTCTTTCTTATATCTCTGTGGATGGCCTAGGGACTCTGTCAGTCTTGGCTGGAACGTCTTAGCTGGAGCAACTCTATTCATGATGTCTCTTCTCTTCATCCTCTTCCCGAGAATGACCCTCTCATAGTAATGTCAGAGGTGCAATAGCAAGGACGCCAGTCACACAAGCACTTTCCAAGTCTCTGCTACTGTCACAACTACTAAGATACCTTTGGCCACGGCACACCATATGGCCAAGCTAAGAGGTGGAGAATTACTTCCTGCCCACAGCAAGAGGGCACTGCCAAGTTATATAGCAAAAGATAAGGATATTTGAAGAGAAGAATAATTGTAGTCATAAATATGAGTACCTTATATGGAAAAGTCTTGTGTCAGTTTCTATAGAAAATACAAATGTAAGTGAGAAGACATTTCTCATGTAGGATCTTACAATCTAGTAGTGAATATGAGAGTATTTCATATAAGGAAATAAAAACTATATTCTCATATTATATATGAGAAAAGCTCTTAAAAAGATGTTATTGGAGATGAATTTCAATGAACAAGTAGGATGTTAACAACCAAAAAGAGAATAAGAGACTGTTCTACGTGGTAAGGCCCTCTTGAGAGATAGCAAACAGAAGAAAAAGCGGGGACATGCCCAGAAAGCAATCAGAAATCCGAGATGGCTATCGATAAAGTATGTGAATTCTAGTAAATGACCAATGCAGCCAGAAAAGGTTAGGCTCAGTATTTTTAGCATCTCAACGATTTCACTAAAGCTCTCACTTCTGTTATTACATTGCCTATACTGCCTATGACTAAATTCCAACGAAACAAAGCACACACGCATATTTAAGGAGAAAGAATTTCTCTACAAATACGAGATTAAGAGATTTATATTCTATCTCTCCCTCCCTCTCTCTCTCTCTCTCTCTCTTTCACCAAGAGCCAAGCCTAAATGATGCTGTGGGTGTACCATCAGTGTAACACCTTCCCTAACTTTTTAAAGAAACGTTTCATCTGAGAACATCTGCATTTGCCTGAAACATATTTTCCCAGGGTAGTACTTGACTTTAAGCTGACGAGAGATATCAAACTTTTTTTCACAGATTCTTTGACATACTTGAACATTATTGAACAAATGTCAGTTCTGTCTCTCTCTTGAATCGTGTCAATCTGAATTGAAAATGTGCTGACTTTTTTTTTCAGCATCATCACTCTGTGTTTCTATGCCAGCGTGCAATTGAACATGACTGGCCATACTGGTCACTTCCATTCCCTGGAAGGTTTAAGTTAGTTCTCACACCCACACTTTCAGAACCCAACTTCTCAGAGCCATGCAGAATCATACCTGAAAAATATGAGGGAACGATTACCATTATTTTCTTAGTATAAAGATGTAGTTGCTGATAGGATTACAGATGATAATGTCACTAATATAGTTCAGTTTTGTAAGTGAAATGAATACTGCAGGCTTTGTGCAAACAGTGTATCTTATCTCTTACAATATTACTCAAATTCACTAATTTTCTTGGTTGAGGAAAGGGCCTCGTTAACAAATAATAATTGGAATTATAAAATTCTTCTAAAATATAAGCTTTTAAATCTTGCAGTCGTATAGTGACCTCTACCAAGCTACAAAATGTTTTAAAGTAGAAGATGTGTTAATAAGTCAACAATAGTAAATAAGAAGAATACGTGCCATTGATTAACTGTTTACTACTGTTCATGTGCTACACTAATTGTTTTGTATACGTAAGAGGACCCTATTTAGTCCTCTTACTTGTAAGAATGGTACTGTTCTCATTCCTATTTCACAGGAGGTAAGACCGAGGCTAGATAAGTAACTTGCCCAAACCATGCAACTGGTAAATAGTAAACAATAACTTTGTCTGACTCAAAAATCCCATTTAGATTTATTCAACAAGGGGCGTGCCTACTACATACCGGGTACTATTCTAGACTGAGGATCTTACAGTGAACAGAACAAAGAAAAATCCCTGTCCTCATAGAACTTAGTTTGTAGTCTATATTATACATTTTCATAAGCAGTAGAAACAGTATCGCACAATTTAGTAGATTGGTGTTCTTCCACATATTAATTAACCTATTTATTTAATCTTCATTATTAAATTATAAGTTCCTTATAGGCTTATAAGAAGTATATAATTCTTTTAATTTTCCTATAGCACAGTGAAGTGATGATAGATTGTGCTTTTCAATATGTACTTTTTAAACTATTTTTTCATTCTTTCCTTTTATTTTCTTTCCTTTTTTTTTTTCTTTCCATTAGCAAACCCTTGAGAAATCACCAGTGTAGGGCTGTTTTATTGTCTGAAGTTGCTGCTGATTCATTGTAGGGGCAGCAGGAAACGCGATTAATCCAGGTCTCCAGGGTGTCTACATAACTTTCACTTCCAGATGTTGTGCTGATTTGAATCGTGGGTGTCCAATGCCAACATCTAGAGAATAACTTAGAAAGTAGGTTCTCTAAACATTTAGTACCATATTAAAAAACTGTAATGGTGTGATGTCAAAGAAATCCTTTGCATCTCTTGCACTTATTTCTCCTTGTAGTGTACTTCAGCAGGGGGAAGAGTTAGAGGGAAGAGATAAAATGATACCTGACCTCTTTAAGTGATATATTCCTTTTCCTTTTAAACAGAGTGTCAAAGGAAGCTGTGCCCTTGTTCAATTATTTTATTTTCAGTATTTTGGCAACTATAATGACAAATAAAAGATTATCTGATTTAAATACTATTTTAAAACAATTTCTAATAAAGAGATTAAATAATCACTTCTCTCTTGGTCTTTACAGAGATGTTTAAAAGGACCAGTGATGGCTTGAATTCCAGCAATGTGGCAGACTAAACAGCTAGGTATGTCCTCTCAGTTCAGAACACTTTTGGACTGAAAGCCAATGTCAACACCATGTCAAATTTTTGAGATGCTTGGAAAGCAGGACTTTGAGGGAAATTTAAAGTAATGCTTATAATTAAAAGAAGACAGAGGAAAAATTAACAAGTTACATGTCTAGCCTGGGTTATATAGCAAGACCCCGTCTCTACAAAAAATAAATAAGTTAGCTGGGTGTGGTGGCACACACCTGTGGTCCCAGCTACTTGGAGGCTGAGGCAGGAGGATTCCTTGAGCTCAAGAATTCAAGGCTGCAGTAAGCTATGATTATGCCACTGTATTCCAGTCTGAGTGACAGAGACAGGCCTCATCTCAAAAAAAAAAAGTTAGAAAAATATATAATATAACCCTCAAAAGCAGAAAGAGAAGAAAAAAAGTAAGAGCTGAACTAATGAAATAAAAAGCAAACATACAACAGGAAGGATCAAAACCCAAAAATTTGATTTCTTGTGAAGCCTAGTAAAATTGACAAACCATTTGCAAAACTGGTTACAGAAAACACACACACACACACACACACACACACACACACACGAGAAAGCCCAGGACAGAAAAAGAAGGTCCCAAAACGTAGTATCACACTATTTGAAATAAATGGGGAATATGACTACAGATGTATCAAAGTCTAAATAAATAGATATTATGACAATTTTATACCAATATATTGGTAAAATTATTAGAAAATGTATTAGAAAAATAGAAAATACTCCCCCCTTTAGAAAAATCTTCTTATATTGACTCAGCACACACACACTCCTATAATACAATGCAGACCATACAGGTTGTTAAATATTGAAACATCTTTTAAATATTTCTTGTTTCAATCTTCTGAAATGGAACACACATGGTTTTGGGTTTTGTTTTTGAGACAGAGTCTTGCACTGTCGCCCGGGCTGGAGTGTAATGGCATGATCTCAGCTCACTACACCCTCCACCTCCCGGGTTCAAGCGATTCTCTTGCTTCAGCCTCCCTAGTAGCTGGGATTACAGGCGCCTGCCACCAAGTCTGGCTAATTTTTATATTTTTAGTAGAGACAGGGTTTCACCATGTTGGCCAGGCTCGTCTCAAACTCCTGATCTCAGGTGATCTGCCTGCCTCGGCCTCTCAAAGTGCTAGGATTACAGGTGTGAGCCATTGCACCCGGCCTACATGTGACTTTTAAGAGCCTCTACCTTGGTCCCTAAGTATCTCCTGAGCCACGTTTGCCCCTCCTCAAGGACCACTCCCTAAGCCTCTCTATAATCCACTAACTTAAGATTAATTCTAGGCACAGAGGGGAACTTCAAGATTCTCTTTTAGGGCCATTGGTTGGTATCCCTCCTGACTAGTCCAGTGTCTGATCCAGATCACCAGCAACAAATTTCGTCACTTTTGCCTATAGCAATTAATTAAAATGAAATTATAATTTACAACATACCCATCAAAAACACAGCAGTTCCAGAAGATTTTACAAATGAGTCCTACCAAACATTGAAGAAATTGGTAAATTCATGCAGTTTTTCATATTTCTTTAGACTATAAAAAGAGAGAACATTGCCTACTTCATTCTACAGTACTAATCTATCCACAAATTCAAAATGAGACACACAAATTACAAAGACATGAAAATCACATGACAACTTTATTCACAAATTTAGGTAAAAAATTTGTAAACATAATATTAGCAAACCAAACCCAGAAATATATTTTGGAGATGATTACATTATTAAGAAAATAGATTTATTCCAAGACTGCAATATAGTTTCAGTATTAGAAAGCTCATTAATGTGATTTATCATTTTAAGAGAATAAAAGCAAAACTATTTTCAATAGATACAGAAAACTAGCTTGGTAAAATCTAGCTGATATTCATGATTTTTAAAAATAGAATCATAGAAAATTTGGAAAAGATGGGATTTCCTTCATCTGGTAAAAAATATATGCCCAAAACTATAGCAAACTCCATGTTTCATGGTAAAATATTAGAAGCATTTTTTTTTTCAAATTAAAAACAAGATTTTAAAAAGCCTACTGTCAACATGTCAGTCAACATAGTACTGGAACACAGACAGCTAAATTTGACTACAGAAAATGTAACAGATACCAAGATTGTGAAAAACAAAACTACATTGTTACTATTTTAGATAACATGATTATCTACATAGAACCCCCCCCAAAATTGAGGTTAATTACTAGAATTATTAAGACAATTTAATGATGCATCCAGTAATAAGATAAATTTGCAAAGCTCAATTGCATGGGCTATAGAGTAAGAAAACATTATAACACATTTTATAGACAGATAGAGATATATACCATACTTTTATTATTATAACAAGTACAAAGAATAAATACATTAAAAGTTGTACAAGACAAAACCTTACGGATAAAATTATAAAATGTTGAAATGCATTAAAGAAACCCCTCATAAATGGAAGGGTACATCTTACTGACTTATAGATGCTAATTCTCCCCAAATTATTCATCTTTCTTCACATTCAATTCAATTTCAAATAAAATTCTATAGGTTTTTTTGTTTTCTCCTAGCAAGCTGTTATCTATAGGTATTTTTCCAGCTGATTCTACTATTTATATCTAAGAATAAAACTTTAAAAATAGCCAGTACGTTAATGCAGAACAATGACAAAGTTGTGGATCTGGCTGTAATCAATAATTATTATTGTAAAGTCTGATAAGACAGTGTAGTTTTGGGATAGAAACAGGTAAATAAATGCAGTCAAATGAAGATTCTATGTACGTAGAGACTTGTTAAATGACAGAGCTGGCTTTGAAAATCAGTGACTAAAACAGACTCTACTCAATAAGCAATGTGGAAACAATTAGTGGCCCATATGTAAAAATATGAAATTGGATACCTATTTCCTACTAGTTGCAAATATCAGTTGTGCTAAAGTTATGACCTTAATGAAAAAGGCAAAATTTAAAACTTTTTAAACGTAGGAGACTTTGTACCTGTAGAATGGAAAAGATTTGTTAAAATAAACTCAAAAAGCAAAATTTGTTTAAAAATGGATAGATTCAAATATATTAAAATTAAAATTTGCTTTCAACAAATGACACCATAAAGAAAGTGAAAGAGGCAAGCCGCAAGTAGGAAAAAAAAATGTCGGCAACACATATCATAATAATGGATTTATGTTCAGGAGAAAAAACACAAAAACAGAAAATTCAAATTCAAAAAGAAGTAGACAAAATACCAATAGGAAATTTGACAAAAAGTCATGACCACCCAATTTCAAGAAGAGAAACTATCAATGGTCAATAAACATATGAGAAGATACTAATCTCCTTAATTACTAAGAAAATATAAATTAAAATCCCAGTGAGATACAACTATATAACCCATTGATTAACAAAAATTTAAACGACAATACTAAAACTTGGCAAGAATGTATAATGAGAAGTTTTATACTCTGTTGATTGGAGGATAAATTGGCACAATTACATAGGAAAATAATCTAGAAAAGTTCAAGATGTGTGTAGACTCTGCAACCTAGCGATTCTACTCTAGAAGACATCTACAAGAATGTTCAGAAAACCAATGTTTGTAATAAAAAAATTAACTAATTCTGGTATATACAAACCAGGAAATATTATACGGTAAAAATGAATGAATATAGCTACTTAATAATTTCAATGAATCTCAAAAACATAATATCAAGTAAAACATTGAAACTGTAAAATATATACAGCATGATTTCATTTATATAGGAATCAAAAACAGAAAAAAGTAAATAATTTATTGTTTAGGGAGACATACATGTGTAAAAGCAACAAGAAGAGTTATTAACACAAAATTCAGACTGTGGTTAACCCAAGCAGGGACAGTGGGAGTGCGATTTGCAAAGGGCATATAGAATGCTAAGAGGTCTTGGTATTCTATTTTGTATGCAGTCTTATCGGTACCCAAGTTCATTTCAATATTTTTCTTTAAATTCTAAATATATGTTATAAACTTTCTTCTTTGTGGATGATATATTTCATCATAAAAAATTTTTAATATCATGAAAATCCCATGTTGAAATATCTTATGAGTCTCAAAAGAAAAACCTTGGTGATTGCCTATCAAGGCACAGTAATTCAGTGTAAGAAATAAACTCAGAGGCAATGTGCAGAAAATACAACTTATACCGAAGAACCCTGTTACACAGGCTGGGCAGCCAGGCACAGAAGTGAAATGCAATTTTAGAGTAGCTTAAATCTACACATTAAAAAAAGACAAAAATATATATATTGGTTTCAGAGTGGAAACACAAATTTACATTTGAATGAGATTATTTTGCACAATCAAATCACAAGGGTGAAAACGTTCATAGATCTGTCTGTGGACTCTGAACACAACCGTGAACTCCTCCACAGGACTCAGGCACGGCATTCAGCACTTGCCCTAGAACAAGAACCCTGGGAAGCCTGGTCTGGGAGAAAGAAACAGCTGGCAATTACAAGTCCAGGGGAGAGGGTTAACCCACAGCTGGTGGAAATCAACCAAATGACTAAGAAGACAAAGGAAAGCATGGGGGAGGTGCAGAGAGACAGACCAAGAGGGGAAAGGAGTTGACTAAATTACACCAGACATCCATATAAATTAAGCTTTGTTAAAACGGTGCTATGGTTCTGATTCTAACCAATACTAATTTATTGGTTAGATAGGTTCTTATAGCTGAGAAGAGCTCAAGGTACAGGGAAGCAGAATGTTCCCTGGGCTCTGGACAATGAGTATGTGAAGCTTCCCATATTCTCCTCTTCTTCCTTCCCCTCATTCTCCCATTCCCAAAGAAGTCTACCTGTTTGTCTACATGAAGCCCCTGGAACCAAGCAGCCTGAAAAACAAAGACATGAGTCAGTGGCTCTAGTGATGCAGTTCCACCTAAACTGATCTGGCTTTTAGGCTTTGCTATTAAGAAAACATTTCTTACTGTCAAATGCAACAGACTAAAATACATTTTGTTAAAGAGAATGTTT